TGACCTGCCAGAATTTGGCTGTGTGCTTTGGACCAGTATTATTAAGTCAGAGGCAAGAAACTTCAACCCATAACAACAGAGTCTTTACTGATTCAGAAGAACTTGCAAGTGCTTTGGATTTTAAAAAGCATATTGAAGTTCTTCATTATTTACTCCAGCTCTGGCCAGGTAAGTAATTTTGCAAAAATATTCTCTTTCAATGATAGGGTGTTTGATTTAGCTAATCATTAATATGTGCATATCTCGTTGAACAAAATCTTCTCTAGATTTTGCTTTTACATATAGTTATGAATGAATACCTGCCCTTTAGATTTTTTTCATCTGAATTTTCTGCGTTTGCTAATAGCATTGCAGACATAGAGATCAACGTACAACTTAGGTTTGATCAGATGTGGTTTTGAACCCTGGTTGTGCCACTTACTAGTGATCTGACCTTGGACAGGTTCCTTAACATCTGAGAGCCTCAGAATCATTTTTTGTCATATGGATGTAATAATATGTTTATAGATTTTATATGAAGATTAAGTAAACAGATATGTAAAGTGCTCAGCACAGCTCTTGACACATATGAGGTACCCAGTAAATACTGTCCTTACTCTTCTCATTTTTAGTTCAACCAGTATGAAGCAGAATTCGTTTTTCTCTTTGAATCAGTTCTTCCTGACACATCTTTCCTATATTCATTCTTCGGATTATCCCAGCTTGAACTGGCAGTTATCTTTGACTTTATCTTCCTTATCCACTCCTTATTCCAGTCCATAACCTAAGACTAGCTGGGTGTAGTGTCTCATGCCTGTATTACCAGCACTCTGGGAGGCCAAGGCAGGTAATTGCTTGAGTTCAGGAGTTCAAGACCAGCCTAAGTAAGAGTGAGACTCCAACTCTGAAAATAGCCAGGCGTTGTGATGGGCGCCTGACAAGAGGATTGCTTGAGCTCAAGAGTTTGAGGTTGCTGTGAGCTGTGATACCAGGGCAATAAAGTGAGACGCTGCCTCAGAAAAAAAAAACAAAACCTAAGACTGACAGTTATTTTCCTAATATATCTCTTATGCAGTTTTAGAACTAAATAAATATGTATTTAATTACATGCTGTATAAAGAATCCTGTATTTAAGTTCCAAAATTTTCTTATGGTAACCCCCCCACTGCCTCCACTCACAGAGCTGCTTAGTGTGGAGCGCAGAAGGGAGGGGTCAGGCTTGGCGTCACTGGAGCACTTGCCTGCAGGCTGGGTTCAGGCAGAGACTGACTTCTTCAAGCCTCAGTTTGCTGCTCTCTCAATAGTGCCTGCCTGGGTGTTGTGTGAAGACTGGATCCATCCAAAGCAGTGAGCAAAGTGTTTAACATGAAACAAGCCCTCAGTGCACGTCGTCTGATTCTCACTTACTGATGTAGATCAGAGGGAAATTCCAAAGTACAAAGGAATGCTTGATTTCATCTTTTATTTAACCTCAAATTCTTGGGCTTAAGCAATCCTATTGCCTCAGCCTCTGGAATAGCTGGGACTTCAGATGCCCACTACAACACCTGGCTAATTTTTTTATTTTTAGTAGAGATGGGTCTTGCCCTTGCTCAGACTGGTCTCGAACTCTTGAGCTCAAGTAATGCATCTGCCTTGGTCTCCCAGAGTTGCTAGGGTTACAGGAGTGAGCCATGGCACCCAGCCCCAGTTTAGTCTTTTGAAATAAATCTGACTAATTTTAAAAGTGAATTAAACACTAAGTTAATAAAATGTTCAACTTTTAAATTTGTTAAATTAAAATTTTACTTTTTTTTAAAATGCAGGCTTAAAAATTATTCTAATATCTATTTTAATGGAATTTAAATGTATTTTAATTATTTAAAAATCCCTAATCAAGATTCTCAGGATAATTGGGATGATTTCAGCATTTGATGCTTAACTTAAGGGGTCTCTCAAGTTTTAAATGTGTGTTTTCTTTTTCCTAGAACAGCTGTAAGTCTAATAAACATCAGGAATTTGGAAAAAAGCCATCTTATCATTGTAGCCACAAATGAAAACTTGCTTCCCTAAAGACACAATTAGGTTTACTGTCAGTACCTCCGTTCTTGTCATGAATTCTGTATCCGAGGTCACTATCATTTTATCATTTTGTAATAGTTACCTTAGTTTTGGGTTTGTGAGCAGAAGCAATTTATATTCTGTGTTATAGGAAAAGTAGGTTCAT